ACGTTGCTGCACGGCGGTATGTAGAATAGAATACTGCAATAGTAGAGCCAAGGAACCTATTTCAAAGAACAACCCCTGCATTTCGAATTAGTGGTATCTGAGAGAGCCTGACTGGTTTTGTTTTATGAGGCCGCAATCGTTGAACGCTAGTTCGCCTCACGACTATGAGGCTAAGCCCTACCGCGCAGAGTAACACGGTACAAACGGCAATGAACGAACCATGAACGTACTAACATGTATATCTTTTGCTAGCAAAGGGAAAAACACCTTAACTTTTCAAGAATAGAAGCTGACTTTTTCAAGAAAGGGTTGGTTGAACAACGTGACACCAGCGTGTGATCCAAAATAGCTCAATGAAAGGTTATTAATGGCATCCTTCGAGTCAAATAACGCGCAATCAACGCTTACTGTGTTCTTTATTGAAAGTCGACATAGCCCAACATTTTGGCACAATCAAAGGATTCGTGCATGGGAGCGGCATGACTCTATTTTCCCCACGTATCGATAGATTTGTGGCCCCTCCCTACATGATAAGAACAAGCAAAGAAAACGATCAATTTTCATGGGCTTGGCTCTAGCCTCCTTTTTTCGAACAATCCAAACAAAAACTAAAAAACCTGCTATTCGCTCAAATGGGCGTCGTAGAAAGGTATACAGAGTCACTAACGATGGGGAGAGGGGAGGGCAGATCTAATTCTGAATCTTATTCCACCTGTCTCATCTTTTCTGCTCCACTCGGTGATATGTTTTGTCTTAGTTCTTATTAGGAATTAGGTCCCATTTCAGGCCTACTACAAGTTTGGCAAGCCCACGAAAATGAAAACATCCCTCCCCCACTAGAACACGATAAAATCGATTGGACAGTCTCTTTATTATATTCTATCTCTTTATTTCAGTCTAAGCCATGACTTGATATTTCATTCACTACTTTCTAGTACTTCTCCATGGGACAGATAATGTATTGACAAGAGCAACCGCGGAAATAGTCCTTGGCTCAAATTCCAAGCCGCCAGTGTAGTCAGACAAATTGTTTATGAACGGCTGTCACTAGAGTGGTCGTTACCCCTAGAACACATTAATATTCTTATTTTTATAAAGTCGTAGCGCAAGGGTTAGGAATAGTGTTGTCATGTTAACAGTACGAGGAAGCTGCATTTATCCCAAGAAACAAGCACCCAGCACAGATTGATACTGCAGAGTAAGACAGCTACAAATGAGTGACACATTTCAACAGAAAGCAGTAGCCTCAATCTGGTGTAGGCGATCGGTTCCTGTCATGCAAACGGGTTTTGCTGAATAAGGCAGATCGTCTTTCCAACGTCCTTGGCTACTTGAACGCGCATGACTCATGCCAATGTGTGGGTGCCTACGGCAACAGAAAGTCATCCCCAAACTGCTTTTCACCGTCTTCACACCTACGAAATCACTTCACTATTAGAAAGGATTCTTGAATGGCGCCGATAGGCTGTCGGTAGCCCGACTTCCACGCATTCAATGCTTTTACTTTCTCTTCGATTTGGCATTACCATTTTTTCATCTCACTACTCTAAGCGCGTGCTATACGCACTTGTTTGCTTCCGTAGTGCTAATTTCTGAGAGATCTTCAGTTTGATAACCTATTCTACTGTGTTCAGAGCGCTACCGAAGCCTTCTTGCAATGTCACAAGATTTCTCTCAAAGCCGGCCAGTTGCATTGTTGAGTCCTGTTCCATACTTCCTTCGAAATGCTCTTTTCCTCCCTTTCATATAGGAGAATAATTTGAAATTTAGACCACTTCGAGGCGGCAAAGTTTTTTCGATCGAGAAATAGAACTGAAAACATTGCTGAATGATTGATAGTTTCAGAGAGCTAAGAAACTGGATTTGCCTAATCTACCAGCCTCATCTCATCGTTCCAGTGGGCTAACATTTATTGCATAATTATGCTTGCGGATTACGCTTAATTATCTATCTTCAGCAAACATTCTCTTATGTATTCGATCGTTATTGATCGTCGTTTAGGGTTCCATGAGAATAATACCATACATCATATGCACCGTGGTCGCCATATCTACTCAAGCAATAACTCCGAGAACGAACGAGGTCAATGAGGCTCTAAGGGTTCGTTGTAACCGCATCTCTCATTCTATCGTTTTATTTATTAGCTGAAACCAGTTCAGTCGGTCTAGCAAGAATATCTGTCTGTGTTGTTCAAAACTGGCCGGTACGTGGTATGAATAGGCAGTGCGATAGGAAAAAAGGCTTCTTATTTGTCTTAATAACTTTCGTTTTGTATCGTCAACCGCAACGTCTATTTATTTTTCTTTTTTTTTACTGCCTCATGGAATAGCTGTTCAAAAATTCCGAATATATAGTTAGGATACACGAAGATTCATGAAAAATTCAACTTTGAAAGGAATGATAAGTGTCATCATTTTTTGGTTTATTTCCCATACAAAATGATAACTTTATTTTCGAATTGACATCGAATCATTCCTGATTCTTTCATTGCGTAAAAATTAGCCCTCTAGGCCGCCGCAGTTTCACAAATTCATGGGTTGCCTCAGGACACGATCGAGTGGATAGGAGATGTTCAGGGCACACATAGAGTAGTGGTTGGCATTAAGTCCTTATGTCGAATTCAGAGTTGCTACTCGAAGAGGATTATGATCAGATTAGGCAAGCCAGGCGTTTTGGGCTATCACAGGCCTGAATCATGGGGAGTCGCAGTGTTCACCAGATCACCCTAAGCGTCTGACAAAGTAAAGGTCTCTCGTTACGCGAGTGCGTTTGGAATTCTTAAATGCCTTATAGGTAGGCCATTGGCAACAGTGCATTCATCCCTGTTCATGGATAGGATCCCTCTAGTGTCAAACCTCAGCTTGATCAGCTGACTCGATAAAACGAACACTGAGAAAGACAACTTTCACAGCTGCAGGTGATCGTATTAGGCAGATAGATGGGTCTTCCAAATGCCCTACAGTTTTCTAGTGGAAGTGAATGGGTGGCGTAACTGAAAGTGGTTATCAACGTCGGACACATTTTTACTTATACTTGTTTTCACTGTCCCTTTGACAAACAAGGAAAGCAGTGCCTCGCTTATTGAGGTCACTCTAGCCGACGCGAGTTTTCTGGTCACATCACAAAGGCCATAAATGGTGGCATCTAAAATCGACGTTGCAGTTCTCAATCTGTTCAGTAAGAAGCGCAATTTCAGCAAGGTTCATAGCGATACTTTGGCACTGAAGTTTGCTCTATCAGGGCATTCCTAACGCTTCTATTTACCCCAATCAGACGAGGTTTTCTGAAGGTATGGTGGTGGCCAGGCAATGTCCCATTCGTTATACGGAGAGCGTCTCATAGTCATAATGGTAAGAGGATCCGCGATATCCTCAGACGGTCATTGGTCATTAGCTGACCGCCTGTTGGGCACTAGCGGCCACGCTCGTTAAGCGAACACGCCATGAATATGGTAGTAAAAACTGGAATTGCGGACATTTCGAATTTCTCCTCTAGTTCCCCCCAGGATTTCTACTCGAACAGACACGTTTCGCGTACGTGTCCACAGGTGTTATTTCTACTCCAGTGTCAGACGTGTTTTTTAATTTCAATATAAAAGTGGGACGAGTGAAATGTAATGCAGGAAGTTATGGCTAAGTCTGGAACATATGAAATATTTCGAACGGTCCGTGTGAATTCTCAATTAGCATCGAATGCTTGTAATCCACGATACGTAACCCTCCTGGTGCCAAAGGCGAAGCTATGAGCTAGGAAAATTTCAAGTTGGAGGCAGTGATAGCGATAGCTGCAGGGCGATGCGGTTTCGATGACGTCACTGAACGGTATTGGTGCTCTAATCCCTCATTCATGGGATGTGTTCAGGATCGCCTCTTAACGCTCTTCCACCACTGACGTCAATGATGTCATCAAAACCGCAGCACACTCCAGCTATCGTCATCATTGCCTTTTGAGCTCACGCTGTGACTAAACTGAACAAACCTTTGGCGTTTTCTAAGACATTAAGAGCTCTCCAACTATTTAGCGCCAAAAATTTCACATTCAGGGCTACTAGCCCATATATAGAAGATAAAAAAAATATTGCTATTCCCAATACCTGCCTTGAAGAAGACCTCAAAAGACAGGCTCTGCATTTTTCTCATTGTGCTTGTATTCGTTTTTAACGTTTTGCCTCACGTAACGCTAAATAAATAAACATAAACATTTCAATTTCATTTTTCTTTTTACATCTCGTGATTCCTAAGACGATGTAGTATTTTCCTAATTTTTTTGCCAGCTTGCTCAAAAATTGCTAAAACATTCCGCTTCATCACTTGAACTTGCCATTCCTCATGTCCTCAATTTCGCTTCATTAGACAAGTCTCTTCTGAGCGAAACTAGCGTAGAAAGTTTTGAAGTGCCTGGTTATCTTTGATTCGTTTCAGTCGCGCTGTTCACTGAGAAAGTCTCTCAGAAGTGCTTAATTGCTTTAAACGTTCCAAAAACCATAAGTGAAACAGCAAGTTCACAGCGCAGGGTTCTGCTTTCCTATAAGGGGATGCGTAAACCCCCAAATGAAGAGATCAATTGATTTTGTTAAAATATACTCAAAGTCAGAGTTTTTCACAGTCTTCCCTCACCCTCTTCCTCTTTTTTTATTGTAAGTCAGTGCTCTCGCCTGCCAAAGTATTCGTTTTTCACTGACTTCATTTCATTATTTCAGAGACAAAGATAGGCTCTGTAGTTGTTCAATACGGTAGTAAAATTGTAGGTACAAGTAAGTAGATGCACTTACGCAAAAACCGCTGACCTCGACAACTGACCTTATTGACTCGACTCGAAATCAAATACCTTTTTCATATCAAAATCTAGCAGCTTCAAGGAACCATTTTACTAAATTTGTTTGAAAATATGATAAACTGGTCATTTAGAGAAGGTACATCATCTCGTCCTCCTCCAAGTCAGGCTGCCGTAGTACCGGATAAAGCGGCCAGACCACTTTCGTGGTTCCACCGCAAAATGACATGAAGATGATCACACCAGGTTTGTGCATTTTCAACATGTTCGTGAGAAGGATCAAGCATTCGCTGTTGCACAGTCTTTTTTGGGACACACACTTCATTTTCACATCAACATCCGAATGTTTTCTATACACATATAGTCTATACAGGGAGGGAGGAGGTAGAAAAAAGGCATTGCCTAGGTCGCACTTCGGCCTTTTTTTTTCGCAGAGATTGCCGTCGCTGACGGAAGTTCCTCAGCAAAAGTATTCCTCTAAATGTCCCTCTATAAGTACACGCAGGCCCTCCTTCACTACCCTCACCGTCTTCAGAATATGACGTCATCTGTCACCGTCGTCGAGCTCAGGGAGGCCTACAGTAACTGCTTCAGCCTGAAGCTCTTACATAATTTCTTGGATCGATTCAACGTGGGATAGTTTCCTAGGGACATTAGCTCTAACTATGCAAACCCCCTCGGAACCCGCCCTTCGGAACCCGTCGTAACGGTACACGATCAGTCGAGAACCCCATTGAGCTCGACCAGAGCACCATGTTTCCGGGCAAATTTTCTGATGCCGTCCACGTAGATGGCCACTATGAAGATTTTCTTATGAAATGAAATGCGCGCTCTTCAATTCTAAGTTGGGAGCACACGCTTTGAGCTGAGCAAAGTGTGATTAAATCCATTTGAGTCTGGAGACAAAATGTCTTTTTTTTTATTGCCCCCCCCCCCCCCCTGTATACACGTGCAAAGGGGCCAGCCGACGTACGACACAGAACTTTTCTCATCCCAGACATCTGCTACCAATCAGCTGGACCATCTGAAAGAATTCATATGCCGTTTACACCTCATCCAAGTCCACGAATCGATCTCCGGACCGTGCACAAAATCATTGACCCCAACCATTGCATTGTTGGTCGTGAATCTCTTCAACTCTTTTTCATACACTGGTGTGCAAAACTTTATGACTGAGATAGATAAAATAGCAAAACTTGTCAACAGAAACATGGAATTGTATGATGTGGTAGCATGTTACCAAATTTGTTCCAGTCATGAACAGAAAGCTGAATGACTCGACCTCAAATCAGCTTGGATATGACGCGAAATAATGCGGTTTCGCAAGGAAATTACAGGACGTCTAGGAGAAGGCCGAAGTGTGTTGAGGGCAGGCAGGCCAGAAAACAATCCACGCCATTCACTCGTTACATTTGCAACCGCATTTACCACGCTTGAAAGGCATGCAATCCAAAACTGAGTAATGGCGTGAAAACCGTACCGGGCTGGTTTTTGTGCATGACGACCATTACTATTTTTTATGTATTTAATATATTTTTAGTTTTTATTTTATTTTAATATAATTTTATTATTATTATTTATTTTACACATTCAAAATGCGCGCATTGACGAGATGGTTTGCCATAGTGCCGAGAGTAAAGAATGGGCCACCTGAAGGGGGGTAGCCCGTGTCCTTGTCAGATAAGCACAAGTTGGGTGTGAGTAGTGAATCTGGACACATCCTCATATGGTGAGAAGTGGAAACATGAAGGCACCAGAGCAGGGTCAACCGTCCGTTCGAACTGTTCGAACGAAGGGGTCGCATTTTGGTCGGAAGGGGTCGCAATTTCGAGGACTGCCAGCCACAGGCGCGTGCGTGGCGTATCCGAGGGCAAGAATTGTTTGTGCAGACCGCATTAGATTCGATTAATTATGCACAGAGAGACAGTTTTAGGCAAATTACGGTGTTTTCCTTGAGGAATAAAGAACAGTTGAATGCATCTCCTATGAAAGGTTTGACTTCTCGGGGCTGAAATTGAACTTCTTCGGGGACCTACTTTTCTGAGGACGGTTCTTCCAGACAATGGTGAAACACATAAGAAAGAAGAAACCTCGTAGTCTTCAAAAATGTCTTCGCCTCTTTCCAACAAATGCTCTTTGAAGGAAGTTATTATTGCTGAAAGCTCAAAAACTCGCATGTGCTGCTCAAAAACCTATGGGATCCAAAATGTTCGAACGTGTGATTTTCTCGAAAAATGAACTTTGAAAACGGTTTGGGGCTTGTTAGAAAGAGCAAATCCTGTACTTTCACCCCATGAAAAAGTGCATCACAGAAATGAAAATGAAGTGAGTTATGCCCGCTGAAAGCCCAAAAACTCGCGATTTCAAAAAAAGTGTTCGAACGGGGCGATTTTTTGAAAAAGAGGACAATCGTCAAACTTTTTATACTATTTTGTTAGAGAAATATTTGAAGTTTCTGAAACTTTTTACAGATTTCCAAAATGTCGCATACGAAAGATTTTATGGGCCTTCAAAGTTGAAGGTGCGCCTTCTTAGAATTTTGGGTTTTCCACTTCTAACAGAAGTACTTTCCGGAGAGTTAGGCAATCCTTGTAGTTTTCTGGAAAGCGCACCTCAGGCACAATCAAAATCTACCTCAACAAGTCAAAAAAATACGTCCCAAGAAAGTTATTCCCCTCTAAAATTTTTTCTTCGCCGCGTCCCGTTCTTCCAGCGCCCGGGTGATACCTGCCGCGCTCCAAGGCCGACGCGACGACGCGCAGACGCTTTCTGGCGCAACGGATTCATGTCTAGCACTCTTATTAACAAAAACAGGGGGTCGCAACTGGACCCCCTCGAGAGCTAGGGGGTCGCAAAAATCCCGAAAATGTTCGAACGTGACGGTTGACCCTGCTCCAGGCCATTAATGGCACTTGGTGATCCAGTCTCCTGGAGTAGGAAGGCTGGATAAGGAAGAGACGTCTTGACCTCTGGTCTTCCAAACGAGGTAGAGTACCCGGTCAATGTTATCGTGGTGCTATACTATTTTCCAGTGCGCGCCTCCTCAGTGGTATGTTTTTGGCTCCAACTTCAATTTTATGGAGGACAATATGCAACACCGAACAGCCCAGGTGATAAAATCTGAAACGAGTGCATATTCGGGGATGGTTCATCCAACACGCTTTCCTGACTCAAATTCCATTGAGCAAGTGCAGAATGCACTGGGAACAACTACTGCAGCACGTCCACAAAAACCAATAATTGTCCAGCAGTTGTCACTCTACTTGCGACTAGTACAGAGCTCGTTGCAGACCATGCATTACCATCCGCAGTATTCGCGCATCTTATTAACACATTCACGACGACGCCCCTTTTCCACTTTTCGGTCGCGTGGGACGGACGCGATTTTGTGGGCGCCGCCGCCTCACCACATAACCGCAGATTTTGTTTTGTAAATGAACAAAAACATGAATGTCACAAAATAATTTCTGCAATGTCCAATGCGTAAAGATTATCTGAACAAGTAACAGGATAAGCGAAATAAGGGTAGAGGTGGTCAGTGGCGCAGAGACAGAGAAAAATCATGAGAAACGACCCAAAACCCGAGATGGAACCCCTCTCCTGCCCATTGATCTCCGCACTGACGCAACTCCCATGGACGCTGCCCTCTTCAACGCTAACGCTCTCTCTGCTTAACACAGTAGAGCTGCGTAGAGCGGTTAGCCAGTCGTTGGGCGCACCAAGTCGATCATGCCGTGGGGAGGCGCTGTACTAAATCACCGGAGCATATCCTTCGCTGCGAATTGCGCGTCGAACTGCCCCTTTAGAGGTTTAGCCTCTCTTTCTACTAAACAATAAGTAACAAAAGTTTTCTTCCCTTGGCACCGGTCGCTACTGAAGAATCCTCTTTCAAGTTTTCCACATCATTGTTATGAAGATGTGTCGGTACGAAATAGCTAGAAATAAAATCCGGTAAATTCTTTTACTATGGGCAATCACTGACCTGGACAATGCTCGTGCAGATGTCTCAAATGCTGGTAATGAAAACGACAACAGGTCTTGGCTTGTACAAAAAAATTTGAAAGGCGTTGTAATGTTTCATGAGATTTGGGCAACTTCTTGTAATCCGAACTGAGGCTTTAGGGAATGATTTTCCGATTTCACCCGAGTAAGTCAGAAAATAACCGCCATATGCGCTCTGTTTCTCGAGCTTTCCAGAATTAGTTAGACCGAAAATGCATTCCAAAATTGACATTCGGCTTATGGTATTTACTAAACAATCAGTTTAAGCGAATCTAAAACAACGGACAAAGGGTAAATAAAGCATTGGCCGTTGATCAACCACTTGTCGGGATGCGCCCTACGTTACACTCCCATACGGAATTCGAGTGGCATTTGATTGCGGTATGGCCTGCACTATGAATTAGGAGGCCATAGTGTCAATGAAATGAGCAGGGAGTTAAAGGATACTTGAGTATCCAGAGCGAGATTAACGCAGTATGTCCAAAACCCCTAAACGGTCTTGAATGGTTGCTGCATGCACGGCTCATACCGAATTAACTACTGTGCTGTAACTACCGTACACTTGGAGTGAGTAATTATGAGCGAATCGTTTCAGGTCCAGCCGCTCAGAATGCCAACGTGATATCCAAAGAAGAGTGGGCGTCCACGCTTTTCGGTGAACGTGGACTGTTGTCAGGAATTTTTCAAATGCTCGATCAACAAAAGAAAATTGCTCAATCGCCACTAAATGACGCTCCGGATTCGTCGGGGAAAATCAACAGTGAGAACATGAGGATATTCGAATAGAACAATAATTCTAATATTTTCCTTGTGTTGATTTTCCTTTTAGTCTAATTTTAGGTAACTCATTCGACTTTAAAAGAATAGTCGACGCACTTTTTAAAGGTGCAGATGGCGACACGTTCGGCGACCCTGGACCTGAACTTCCTGAGGTGTTTGATTTTCCATAATTAACTGCGCATTTTTTAAAAATGCCATATATGGACTAAAAGGGCAAAAACTGATTAAATTCGAACCAATAAATTTTTACAGTAGCAATGGCGCGAGCAAAAAGCATTGCGTTTTCAGGTTTTTGAGTTTGTTTTTGAGTTTGTATTCATAGTTTATCTTCAATTCTTGGATTTCGGTATTGGAGCACATTCGAAGGCTCTTGTGTCAGGCACATTCTGAGATAGCAAAAAATAGAGTACCAATTGAGTTCGTTAAAAACAGGGGTGCTATTCGAAAGCCAGTATGAGTAAGGCTCTTCTTTTCCTGGGCGGTCCTGGAGACAGGCAGTCGAATCAAACACATGCACTGGGTGCCGTAACGAGATAATTCAGGTGGAGACGAGAGAGCATAGCGGGAGCGAGGTGTAGACAGTACCCGGTAGGCGTCTGATCCATAGACCTTGCCTGATCAAAGTCTTAAGCCCTGGACGCCCTTCTGACACGTTTCGAATCGCGAAAGTGCTCCTTTCGCTCTGGTTACGAATCCAGAAACCCTATTTGCGGTTGAGATTGGTCAGCGATCGGAATGCGCCTTACACTCGTTCAATAAATTATTTCAGTTCCTTGGACTGTGCAATCGACTTAGTTGTGGTGACATCTACAAAAAGCGATCGATAAATTCAGGAGATCCGAATTTTTCAGTAATTTTCAGGTGATTTACACTTATCAAACTCCCGATAATCTAACAAGCAGCAATTTGACAAGTAAAGAAATTTTGTGAGCTGTACTTTACTTGACTGCTGATTGTTTACCGGAATGAGTTTCCCATTACTAACTTACCGCACAGCTTTTCGACGCGCAATTTATCACAACGCTGCTCACTTACGGGCAGAACATTTAACCATAGCTAGGGCTCGAAGCCATACCTCGTGCTTCCTGGTTGAACATATATTACGGTTTTTGATTTGAGGTCACTAAGACCGGGTTTGACTAGTTCCCGGAGCAGGACTTTGCCATAACTTACCACCATTGCGATGTATTTTGATGTTTTTTTTATTTATTGATCCTTTTCCCAATTCAACCACTTCTGGGATCCTTCCACAAGAGCAAGTAACGTAGCTATTGCTAGACGAACATCATGGTAACATGATTTTGCCGCTGTGGGCAATAGCTCAAAAGTTTGTGTTCCTTAGTCGCCTTAGGATGCGCACACATACGTCTCCCCACTGTAGAAACAAAGTGAGGTCAGGCCGCACATAACTTTATGCCATTTTAGTGCCCATACTTTTAGGCCTACACTTTGATGCATCACGCACATTTGCTCCACGAGTGCAAATCAACATCTGCGTTTCAATACGAGTCTGCATGGCCGAAAAAGGGAAATACATATACGTGGTCGAAAAGCAGGCGCCCCCCCCCCTCTTGAGGGTGCGGTACGACGCACGTTCCGCAGCGAGGAGTGTGCCCCTAGCAGCCTAGCAGCAGGACTATACCCGCGCCGCTCGCGTCTCTCGCCCACCCTGACTCTGGCAGTTAACGAGAGAGAGAGAGAGAGAGAGAGAGAGAGAGAGAGAGAGAGAGAGAGAGCAGTAACATTGAAGAAAACAGCACCGATGCAAGTCGCATCAATGCGGAATCAACGGGCTAACGAGGGTTTTAAATTTTTCGGGTTTTGGGCCGTTTCCCATAGTTTTTCTTCTTCCCTGCACTACTGACCACCTCTATCTTGAGTCTAATCTGCTGCCTTTTATCGTGAACTTCGTCTCTAAAAGCACTGATGGCTAAAGGTGGAGCTGTTTGACGGCATCATTAGACGTCCTTGGTGGATTATATCTCCCAGCACGCTTGGAGTGTGGTTCAGACCGCCTTTTGACGTCTTTCTGCCATTCCCGCTCTACGATGTTACCAAAATTGCTCCACCTTTCAGACATCGTGTGGAGCAAAATAAAGAGATTTCAGACGGCTCTCAGCTTGATTCATGACCCGAATGGATGGGAAACAATTGGCAATCTGTTGTCGAATCCAGAATTGATTTCACAGTTCACAGCTGGCACTGGCATGGAGGAATTGTTCGGAAGTGCCCTGGGAACAGCAAAGAAGGAATCAGCGAAGAGTAAGTAAAACAGTGTCAGATATGTTCAGAAAAATCGTAACCGTCAGTAGTCCCCTCCATGAAAGAAGAAGTAGTGTAATATCCAGTGAGCCTATTTAATAGGAAATTATTGATGGAAAATTGATATACCCAACGAAGAGAAATTCCATGGTCAATTTGCTCTCGAAATTGAGAGTAGGGGTAGAAGTGGACCTGCAGAGAAGAAAAATAGGAAAAAGGAGAGTCGGAAATACAAGAAGAAACACTTCTATTTGGGTGGTGGACGAGCCTGGACCGTAGGAAACACGGATACTAAAGGCAAGCCCGGGATAAAACTGACGTAGATGGGCGCTTTGTAGTGATGACTGAGCTGCGGAATGACTGAAAGTGGAAGGAAAGCAAGAGAATCATCGGAAACGCTAAAATTAAGGCCTTAACCTCGTCGGATGTGGTACGATGGCGAGACAGGGCGATCAAAGAAGACAAAACACGCGAGAGAGCACGCCGTTCGAGAGAGCACGCTGATCTCTATATCAATAGCGGTGGGTGGGAAGCGTTGCAGCGAGGGTCGATGGTTGCAGGTTCGTAATGGATTAGCGCCCTGCAATTTGGGCAACGAAGCTGGCATGATCTATGAAGGTACGTACCCCAAAATTTCTCTCGTGGTATCCTTCCTACGTCGGGCTAATCCCGGGGTTTGCCTTTGAGATTTTCCTTCTCCTTCATGGCGGAAAAATACGGCGCGGCGAAGGGAGGTAATACGTCGTAAGAGATGGCGTAGACATGCTCTTACTGCGAATAAGTAAAAAGGCAGTGGTCAAGGCTTTGGCGCCCTTTTCACGCACTTTAAAGGCAGCGATTACGATAAAGAGGGAGCGCATCGGGGAAGCATATGCACCACACGAATCAGTTACTTGGCTGCCAGGGAAGCGAGGTGTGGCGCTTTCACGACGAAAGGTGCGCTGGTTGCTGAGCAGGACTTCGAAAGCACTCCGCCCCAAAAGCGATCCGCCCACTAGTTACTTGGTGATTTGGACGAGCTGCGTTGCCAGCAGCGGCACAACTGGAGCAACTCGATTGGAGCATGGATTGGCATGCTGTCACCAAACGCGTTGCGATGAACTCGTTCATACGTCCGCTTTCTGAGCTGTTACCTGTTCATGAGTGAAAACCAACGGCCAAAAAAGGGGGTCCCGTTTTGCGTTTTCTTGACGGATTTCTCCGCTTTTTCGCCACTGGCGTACCATTGAGCACCACCAGTCTCCTATAAACCCTTCTTGAACCTATCGTAATCACTGCCTTTAAGGTCGCGACAACGTAAAGGTTCCTTGCTTGGGTTCTCCACACAAATAGAGACCGCTTCTTACTTCCAAAACGACTCTATGGAGGCGGATAAGTCGATATAGTCAAAAAAAGATGGTTACAATCATGGAGATTACACTGCGACGCGAAGTTTCCAAGCAGTTGGTAGGCAACGGAGCGTCAGTATATGAAGCGAGCTAACCTATCCGCATGGGCATTTTGATTTTCATACAAACTTCGCCTGTAGGGGTGTAGGGATAGCTAACTGCAGCGATCACAAATATGGCATTTATATTTGATACCGGGCCATCTGGTGCACGCTGGGCGCTACAACCTTCTTTTTGCCACATTTGCTACCAACTGTGACTGCTCGCAACTTGCGTGAAAGGTTCAGCAGTCTTGGTCTCCATTTTCGTATTGTAAATCGAATTCTTGACTCTACTGATATAGCCAGGTCTTCATCCAGAGTTTCATGTAAACTTGAAAGCCCTCCCTTTAAAGGATCTAAACACAGACTAAGCCTTTAAGCTGGCGAATGAAGGCGCAAAAAGGCTTGATGCGGTTCAGATGAATGTTAATTGATCAAGCATAAGTGCAGAAGCCATTGTGTTGTGTGATACTCTTTGTTTCAAGCGAAGGAGAAGAATTCAAAGCTGACACCGGAAGATGGCGATTTCGGCATTGAGTTCACCGATGGAGAAGAAGCTCTTCCTAAAGTGGATTTCTCGGTCGACGGAAAACCTGAAATCCCTTCTGAGGATTACTATGAGCAGGTACAATCATCTTCAAATCTACCCTCATCGCACTTCTACTCACAAATATTTCACTTGCAGGTATCAGAAAGCGTAGACGAGGTCGAACCTGTTACTATTGTAGCTACTACAACGACCACCCCTACTACTACAACATTACGAACATCATCTTTCATGACACGACTTCCAACGACGATATCCTCGAGGTTTTTGCCCAAAAAGGAAGGTGAGTACTGAATGATATGTGGGTGCTAAAAAGTATTTTTCTGACCAAATTTAGTGCATTTTAGAGCCTCCTCTGCCAGAGATATCTTTCTCAATTGATGGTGATGGCGAAGAATCGGAGATACAAACTATAGAAAAGGAGATTGATATTATGATGCCCCCATCCTCTTTGAAAAAGGTGAGCATCCCTCCCCTCTAAAAGATAAAAACAAAAAATGTTTCATGAGAAAACTGGGACCCACTGTAGCACATGGAAATTGAAAGTGCAGAAGTGTGGCCGTTAGGACTTAGAGGCGCATACGCGATTGAACACATAGGGATTATTGCACACTAAAATGAACATTCACAGTGTCCGATGAAAGCAAAAAATGCTGATAAACTATAAAATTACTGATCCGTATCTGCACGATGGGAATATGCGTCCTGCCCTCGTAAGGTTTCACTGGTCTCAGCCTCTTTGCTACGGTGGGAAAAAGTGTAAAGAGAGGGCCAACCAACGAGATTCGCGCAAAGGTGGGGCACAAACCCCGCCTACACGACCAGCGCGCACTGTGATTTTGAGCGCTATTTACGATTTTGCCTTCTTTCATTCCTTGGTGAGCCATCCATCACAATTTCGTTCATTTTAGGACGCAATAACCTACAGACGTATTCAGTCGCATACAGTGCCTTTAAGATGGTTTTTTGTCAAGCGGACGTAGCCACACTGCGTTTCAGCTCATTTTCAGCGCTACTCAAATTAATAAGGACAAGTGTTCAAGCTCGCGGGTATATGAATCTGGAGTGGCTTTCGTCTTCCCAGGAGAAGACTGTTGGATTAATAGTAAATCGATGAATTGTTATCGTCAAAAATTATTAGGTTCTGCTGTTTTGGAATCCAAAGTGACTCATCCCGTAAGTTCACATTATCCATAGGTGGCTACAATATCTGAACGGAGCTAAATTTACTGCTTCTGCACTGGCTATCAGTCCTCTATCTATACGAGTTGACGTGCCGACCTTGATGATGAAACCCATGATCGGAGAGTGATGGTCTTGAAGTTTCTGGCATATATGCATAAGTAGAAGACACATTCAGATTTGGACAACGACAAAACCCACGACGTATCCGATCTATACAACTCGTACGATTTCTACAACCACGACTACACCAACCGTCAGAACGACACCTTTCACTATCACGTGGCGGCAAACGACGAGAAACCATCGAAAAGATAGTGATTATTATGCCATGTACTATGACCAACAACCGTGAGCCATGATGAAAATGTTTGTATAAAGATGGAGATAGCACTGCAATCCACTGAACAAGGAAAAGTAGAAAAACCCATCTTTCATGAAATCTTTCAGGATGCACTACTATACAACGCCCATTCAGGCTCGTGGGAGCTGATAAAATATATTCTTTTCATTTTCATGTCTGTGTCTTATTTTCGTTCATACAGTTTCTGACAATTTTGGCGAAATTTTCATGAAAAAAGAATGAAATAGGCGGTATTGGAATACGTGACGTTTTTTCTTCGACGGCAATTTCTGAAGAAATCTGGGTGCAGTTGGAGTGTGTCCTAGTCTCAGAACCAAACATTATAGAAACAGTCATGGTAGTCAGAGTGGCGATGGGTGAGCCGTATCATATACCCTTCACGTGTGATGGTGGTAAGGGATCGAAGTAGGACCCCACCCCCCCCCCCCCTAAAACGGCGAAGGTAACTATGGAAATTTCAAAAAAAAAACTGCTGCATCGAGTTGAAAGATCTGCGTTACATATGCGTCAGATAAGCAATATTTGCACCGCCAAGAATCTTTATCACAATTGAAGAAAGAAATATTTGCACAACTTTGTGATGAGAGGGCGAAGGGAAACGTGCGAAGGTAGAGCTCTAGAAGAGGTTCAAAGCCGTGAAATCGTGTGAATCTCACTCCACAGTGTCCATAAATAACGAGACAGTGGAAAAGGTGAAAGACATCAACTTGCGAAAAAAAACGACATTTAAACTGCATCTTATACGATTTCACGTTTAATGTAATTTCAAAAAATAAATGAGCTTCGGTGGGTAGATGTAGTTCGCTGAGTAGTAGCACCTCTCTCACCGTGAGGATGGTCCGATGTTCAAAAGTTTTTGTAACTCCTCTGGCCGTCTACGCTTACCACCACTCCGATTAGGCCATATGGCTCGAATTTTGTCCGAAAAGATAAGACGCAAATTTGGGTTTCTGGCGAGCCCCCACAGTTAATCATTGTATAGTTCAAAACGCAGTGTCCCACGATCAACAGAAATAGAATGCGTGGCGCATCCCAGAACGAGATTGCTTGTTCGGATGTCTGATCCTTCCTGGACCCCATGTGCTGTTCCTCTGCGCTCTGTCAGCGAGAAAACGTCTCAGCACAAGGCTTGGAAGAAAAAATGGGTGAGTGTTCTTACAGTGTGATCTCGCCTGCTCCATTTTTTGTTTTTGTTCTATGGGAAACATTCAAAAGAAGAAATTCTCACCTAGTTCGAAAGTGGCTCCGGTTCAATTCAAGGACTAAGCGCTAGGGATGGTGGGATGCCGTGAGCGCGAGCATTTGGCAAGAACATACCATAAAACCGTACAATAAAACCGGATTTGCCCTGCGCAGACAGTCGAACTCGTGCTCGCATACGGGCGATCAATACACGTGAAGCTGCGTCAGTAATCAAAATTCCTTGAGTATGATTAATCAGGACCAGAAATCACTAATACACATCGTAGCCTCGCATGCCACCAGAACAACTGCGCCCTTCTTAGCCTTGTGACATGGCACCGATGAAACATAAATTGGTACCGTATATATTGCCCTAGATAAAAACTTGTTTTTCAAGATGGCGACAGACAAATTTAGACGTCCTGGCTTCTGTATCAACGGATTAGAATGAATAGAGCTTCTAATGAGCAAAATTTTGAAAAGCCTAACAATATCCCTGATTCCTCCAGATCTAACAAACCACACAAAGTCAAAGAAATTTCGTGTCGCTGACTTAATGCGCCTACCACTACACCATCTATTATTATATAATACAATTATCAAAATTCGTTGCAATACTTGACGTAAGTTCCATACCATCTACACAATCTAATGAAAACGTTTATAGGTAAACAATATTGATCTTCCACATGGTAATCTATAATAGTAGCATTAGAAAAACCTATCTGTGAAGAATGTAATAACAACACACGGGTTAAAGAAGGCAAAAGGAGATAAAACACGTCAGAAGGCAACTAAGTTTTAACTTTTTCTAAAACAGAACGGTAGCGAACTAAAACTCAACCTATACAACTAGTATAACTAGAGTGAAACTTTTTGATTGAAACTGTGGCCATGAATACTTCTGCAAAAACCTGAGTGTACAGAAAAGACTAATCTTGTTACTAAAGGACGATGTCTGCGAGTTCCTGCTGGAATCGAGCTCGGGTTAATTTCAATGAGACCCTTGTCATGAAATGGACTTGGCCAAAAAGGATCTTCAGCTATGACAAATAGTCTGATAAACAAAGTGATATAATGCTAACCCGTAACGCACTGTTTTAGCAAAATGCGAATTAGCGAATCAGAGGAAGGTAAAGCGGATGTTTAGAATGTAAAGCATCAGTTCACTCAGTTCCTTCGTCTCAAGCATTCGGACTTTGCCCACTGTCGGAAGTCAACATAATGGATTTAAGTGCAGTGAAACAAAACTCAAATTCAAGAAAGAACACGCAAAGGACTTATCCTAGAATAAGGCTGACTTCGCGGATCGACGGACATGAGGAAGATGACAAAAGGAGTTACTCTCCGTATGATTAACTATTCATCGATGTTTCATCTAACACGAAAATACAAAGACTTGACAAGTCCTGAAAAGCCCCGTTTGTGGGGAAAAAAGGCCCATTTGACCGAGAGGAGGAAAAGCGATTGACCTTCTACCTCCCATGAACAGGGCTCTGTTTCCACAAACTGTCGTCAACTCTCAATCTGGGTTCTCGCAGACGTTTTATATGAAGGGCAACGCAATGTCATATCCCTCTCTTTCGGATATCCCTGGTGCCTCCATCTGCCGGATTGTAGAAACTTATAGGCTCTAACATTTTGACATGCTCTACTATTTTCCACTCCATTGCGTATTTGCCGAAACAAAGCCTTACAGATTGTTTCCAGTCAACGTAAAAACACCTGGGCAATTTTAGGTTCGTGGCAACCATCTGGCAAATTGAAATTTCTGTAGTTTAAGGAAGTAACGGCTATCTACTGCGGTTTTACATTAGCAGCACTGTAGTCCAGAACATTTGTTAGGCAAAAAGTCGATGACAAAAGTAAAAAAAAAAAAAAAAAAAATCAAGTATCAAAATGGGAATTGTACCAAAACAAACTTTCCCTGCAACTGGCACCGCACTTGTTCGCCGGAATTTCAGACGTCGATTTCTCAGTTTAGCACAACAATTTGTATAGCAACAGTACTACCGGCTCAGAGCAGCTTGAGAACATCAACTTTCCCAACACTGTTACCAACAAGAACCTCGTCAGAGTCCTAAATTTACGATGCTCAAAAAGAGGTGAATCACGATTGAAAATGTTGAACCAAAACATATCAAAATTGCTGCAATAAGAAAAAAAAACTCTGAAAACATGATGACGATAGCATGTGCTTTGGCTTTTTGCCCAAGTATGGACAGGCGCCATTACATGAACGCGACCGCCTCACCTTACACGCCTGAACTCTAAGTGGTGAATACACACACACACATGAATTGCGCGTAACTTCACCTTTGTGAGCTGAGAAAACACATATCTTGCCATTCGCGCACTTCTCCATTCACTTCTACAGCTTTTTTTATGCATGTTTTAATGAAAAAAAATGAGGGATCAACCAAATGAAAACTCAGTAAAGCATAAAAAACCTTTGCTAATCTAGAGCACATCTGACCATAATGATGAGAACCACGTCGTTTATATAATACTTATGTTAACGTAAGACTTATAGAATAACTAGATACAATCAGGAAAAAGTTTTGCATGGAAGAAAAAAAAACAGTGGTCCAGTTGTCGCTCACGTGTTAAAAGAGCAAAGGAATGGAAAAAGACACCCCTAAAGTTCACATAGAGCAGTCATGTGGCACAAAAATGTTGGACCTGTTGTCTGAATGGGAATATGTTGTTGTTTTCTTGAAGGTTGAATAGAATTTACAAATCTTGACATTTACTGTTTTGCAACGGCCTGAAAGCAGACATTGACCTTTTGACACGTTTCCTTTCAGTAGAAGCAAATGTCCCCTCTCCGGACAACAGACCCGGACCACATTTTGCACCTTTGCATTCAGAGGGAATTTGCCTATTTACGCAAGTTATCACCATCACATCGTTAAGAAAGCAACCGAAAAGCTCACAAAGCAAAGCAACTGAGGACACCTGATATTTGCTTAATTTTCAAGATTGATGGATACAACTATACTAGTGAAAAGTTGCGCAAACATATTAGTAGTAAAAACTAACCGGACGCCAAGCAACCGCCGAAACGAAAACCTCCGAATCGTTCTCGAATGTTGACGGGTCAGAATCGAAGCCACTTACAATACTTTGCGTAGAATCTACATCATAACAGAGAATAGGACGGCTGGCTGTCTTGTAATAAACATATGCTCGGTTATCCTCACTGCCTGAAAACTAGCGAAGTACGACTCATAAACCTGCACGAGAGCTATTATAGTGTCGGTCTGAAAATTTCCGCTGTTTTGCATCTCAAATCAAATGATAACAAGGTAACAAGCAATCAGGTATTAAGTGGTACGCGAAGCGCGGAAATCGGAAATGATACAAAAGAGCGGACTTTCATACCAATGTACCCACGAATCAATCCTTGCAATAACCCTCCACCATGGAAGAGCAAATGGGACAGAATGTGTAACATATATGCAAAGCAATTTTCCACCAATCTAAGTGCCCAGCATGTAAAAATATAAGGATAAGGGTTTCAAGATCACCTCTAGAAACGTACCAGTCAATATGTGGTCGCCGCAGGAGCTGAGCCCAACAAAGTTCTTTGTGTTCCTATGGCCATAGAAGACACGGGTGCACTCCCCTGATCGAGTGTTCCACAATCGAAGATTATTATCGGTTGATCTAGAAACTCGCATTTTTTTTTAAATTCGTGATTATATTGATGCCACGGTGTTCCAATCCCCCCCCCCCGCTCCAAGCCTCCCACAACACCGCAAAACAATACCAGCAGTGGTATACTATAACTAGGAGGAGTGGAAATTCGCAACTGCAAATTGTAGAAAGTTTTTAGAAACTGGAATGTTCTTAAATGAAATCATAGTGACGTTGCTCTACTCACGCTGAAACTATTTCCTCCTTGTTAAGGTAGCGAACATAAGAAACAGCCTGACGATGTCCTGCGAAAACAGTGAGAGGTCGCAAAGGTTGGCGGAGGTCGTACAAGTAAACCGAACGGTCTAAATTGATTTAATCACTGAAAACCTAGAAAGTTTATTATACAGCAAGATACTCATGACTACCTGCGGATCCAACAGCTAATTCGTTTTTGGTGAAACCGAAATTTACAGTACACACTACGAAATATGGCCTTATGGTCATAACGGAATTTGCCATGTTGAGGTTCCAAATTTTCACCTGAATAAAACGATTGAGAACTAATCGTCAACTTCCTAAAAACAATCCGACGGGAATGAAAAAACGGAAAGTCTACCGAGCAATCGTTGCTTCCTGTAGCACAGATATGGTTGTCCGTCCTGGCAAAGCTCACTGACCAGCACCTCTTCTCATGTTCGTTGAACTTCCGCAACCTCCTCACCTACAGATAGAAAATGATAAAATATGTGTGCCGCTTGCATTGCTGCGAATGTTGATTAACACGTTGACGACAACGCGCGTTTTGGGTTTTTGCGCCGCGTGGGACCACGGCGATTTTGCAGGCGCCGCCGCCTCACATCAAATCCGTGAATTTTGAGCTTTAAATACGCAAAACTTGGATGCGACAAAATGTTTTCAATGATATTCGATGTGTCAAACTTATCAGAAGGTACAACTGTAAAAAGTTCGATCGAAATGACGTGTTGGCAATGAAAAGGCAGTTTTAGTTGCTTTTGCTGTAGTGGTCCTCAAAATTATTTTTGACCCGGTTCCTCAACTAAAAACATGTAAAACTGCTACACGTATAAGTCTTTACTCATTTCTTCTATTCTTGTTTAACTCATGTTCAAGAGGAAATTATAAAACGAAGAATGAACCGAAGCGAAGAGCTTGTGGGAGTTCGCTAAAATGGAAAATATATAACCATTCGGCCAACCAAACCGTCTGTGGTCACGATGTGATGTGATCTATAGAATGGATGTGTAAATCAGAAAAGAAGTAGCGCACGCGCAAAAAAAAACTATTTGGGTGTGACGCGCATACGATGCACACAGTCTCACACGACGCAAAAAGTACTGGAAAGAATGAAGAAATACCAATTACGATGTGTTAAAAATGACAACACCTTGTACCTTGTTTATGTCCCAGACAGTAACAGATCCATCATATCCACTATTCACCATCACTGATGCCATAAGAGGACTCCATGCGACACAGCTGCCGATAATAACGGTATTTCTCATGTTGATTCTTTTATTATTTCAACCAATTACCTGATTTTCGCATTACAATCCATTTTTGCAATGGGATAATGGAACTCCAACGGTTCTTTAAGGACAGTCTTTATATCGAATACTTGGATAGTTCTTGAAATGTCGGCCACTGAGAAGAGAGAGTTATCAGCAGAGGAAAACTCCAAGCTGTAAAACGCAGCTGTTGATATGCCTAACTTGAGGAGTTCATGGCTCAAATTATGTACCTCGACACCGTTGACTGGTACGCTGCACTAGAGATATCGTACTTCAGTGAGGCTAACTGAACCGTTTCACCATATCGAGTTGTTTCTTCAATGATCTGTATTAGAAAAATGAATTGAAATGGACCTTGTGTAAAAAATCATATCTATGGCAATAGTACATCGAAGCCGATCATCTCTAGAAACGTTTCTTATTACAATAAGCAATTTGTTGTTATGTGATAAATGACAGCTTGTTGTAGAGACAGAGCTCTCAAAAGCGGGGAAAAAACTATCTCACCTTTCCGAATTCTGAGAGTTCCGAATCGCAAGAGGAAGACTCAACTATCCTGCCTTCGTGACCTTCCGATCCTGAATATTACATAGCCATTTTTACAGTAAAGCTGCCGATCGTTTTTAACAAATGGAACATTAAAATCATCTCTACAGGTGATCGAAGCGTGGTAACACTACAGTCCATGCACCAACCTCAGCGAGCTTCGTGACTATGAAATATGCGAGCATAAGTACAACCTAAACACACCACCACGACCAAAGTTCAAATATGGGAGAGAGGTGGGAGGGGGTGCGTGGCGTCAAGACAAAACTCGACGTCGCACCTTTTGCGGCACAACATTTTCGCCGCAGCACTACCATAAAGCACCCAAATTTAGGACATCCGTAGCGTGACTGAGCGCCGAAATTAGAAAGTGGAATAGTTCATTCGTATGCGGTATGTTAGGGCATACCAAAGGTCATGGGAGTTCCGTTATCCAGGACCCAGCTATTCAAAGTTTCTGCGATTCGCCAAATCTCCCTTATATCTAGAATCAAAAGTATCGCCTAGTAATAAAGGCGACCAGGGGTGTACTAGTCTAGTCGCGCGTTTGAGCGCGCAGTTGCGGGCAGAAGTCTTTACTCCGGAACCTATACCTAGTCGCTCCCGCAACAATAACGTTGGAATGCAAGAGGCGCTCGGTCGCGTTCTCGCAAAATAGTGGAGGTGGGGAGGGGGGGGGTGAGGATAATCAGCAGATGAATATCAATTGATTTACTGTCTGACTGCGTCGGGTCGAATAAGTTTTCACGACTGAAGTCTGCATGCTATGACTTCCTAACGTCACTATTAGGAGCCATTCTTGTAATATGGTGTAATAATCATTTAGCCATCATGATTACGGACTTGTTGCGATATTTACAACAAAGTTTCAGGGAAAAGTTCAAGCCCACTACAGCAGTGAGTACAAGGCACAGCAGTTCGTAAAGGAAGGATCATACCTTCGTAGTTTTTCCGTGTGTTAGTATAAGCTTGAACCAAGGCATCCATATTACGTGTCACCCGCTTTTCAAGCTGCTGAATTGCACTGGACGACTAAAACACATTACTGACTGGGAATATAAAACTAATCAGCAGATTTGTGAACGGACTCGAAAAGGAGCAACATAAGAAGCATACCTTCGAGTATGGTACAGGCGAACGATTCCATGACAAGTCTTCATGTTGCACATCATTTTGTGCAGTGAGTTTTGGTGGTGTTGTCCACTCGGTTGAACAGACTGAAGGTACTTTGTCCCCTCGTCTCTCTGCACGAGTGCAAGAAGCGGGACCACGACAGCGCGCTCGCTTTGTTTTTGGTTCCAGCGAGTCAGGAAGAGAAGACTCCGGATTTTCTACGGGTGCTACATGCTCGTCGACTCTAGGAGATTCCTTCAGCTAGAAGAATAATAAATAACGTTCTGAGAAAAAAAAGTGAAAAAAATAACAGTATAACATCTATTACATTTCACACTTTGAAGGCGCACGTTGAGCAGGGTCAACCGTCCGTTGGACAAAGTCCAACGAGGGGGTGGGGGTCGTATTTGGGGGTGGAAAAGAGGGGGGTCGTATTTCGCGAGGTAGCGTTAATGTTACAGTAAGGGAAGGGATGATTTTTATGGAACGGAGAGCGATTAGGTTGTAGGCTGGATTTTGGGCTGAGAAAATTTTGGCCAAGAAGGGTTAACCCTGAGGGGGGAGGGGTTGTATCGAGGCCTTCTAGAAGGGGGAGGGGGCCGTAAAATTTTCGAAATTGGTCCAACGTGACGGTTGACTCTGACAGGAGACTTTTCCTACTAAAAGAGGCGTGGCTCGGGGAAGTTTCCTTACTACCCCAAATGCAGGTGGGCCAGTGCAGTTGCAAATGCGCGCCCCTATGCCACCACGCAATGCAATCGCTGGCACCCGCGACAACTAGACTTCAGTAACTCCTCTCGCAGGACAAGTCCCATACTCCAGACGCGCAACAATGCACTGCAATTGGAACGAACTGATCGAGTCAGTCATGCTACCATTAAGGCAGCATGAAAGTGCAATGAGGGATCGCTGTGCTTCGTACAAGACATGTTAATTAGATCCCACCTTAAGCTGCCGTAGCACCACTTGATCCCACTCCAATTCCAACCCAACCGGAGTAAATAAAACAAGAAACTAGCCTACAGTGTAAGGGTTGGAATGTTGTGAAGTCGAAGTCAGGGTAGATTTAAGCTTACGAGGATGGGATGAAACGGGAGCTACACTATAGCCAGGTCACGAGTACATCACAGACATCCGATTTTTTCCTGCACTACTGCAACGTGATGCAGTCGCAATATAAGCGCATTCATGGTCGGTCGTCCGATCGTAACCATCGCACAGTAATTGGTACGGATCGGGCGGGGTAGAAC